TTTACTCCATAGCACTCGTGCTCCCTTTTTCCAAACGATAGGAGCACCATCGAAAATTTAGGAGCACCCACTGACAATTAAGGAGCACCACAATTAAGCAGAAAGGCCTGCAGCATCCTGTGGCCCATTGCATGAAGCTTGCTGAACAAGCTCAGAGTTTCAGAGTAGGTTTAGACTTGACAAACCAAACAAATACAACTTGGTTTAGATCAGGTTCAACGGGCTCACAACACTCTATATAAATATTCTCTGTCAACTCTGTTCTCTGTCAAACTGAGTTTGATCCAGAGTTTGTGATTAACTCTGGAGCGCATTCACCTGAAAATGTGACACATTGAGCAAACAGCCAATTACACGGAATATTGATTCACTTCTTGTGAGAGTCGATGCAATTCACTTCTCTGCTGAAGATTAAAAGTTGTTGTTATTAAAAATATATATATAATGAATTTAAATGCATTTACTAGCCAGGAATAAGCACTGTTGCTGCAGCAAAAATTTGAGAAGGTAGCAGAAAGAAAATATCTGACTATGCAAACGAATCAACTGAATTTAATAACTTATATGGTTTCACAAAGAGCTCAATTTTACAGACGAGTGGTAAAGGATGTTTTTCCCGGTATGCAGTGGTGGTTTTAATGTTGTGGATGATCAGTGTATGCTATTTCAAGACTTGAAATGAACATTTTTACTCCATAGCACTCGTGCTCCCTTTTTCCAAACGATAGGAGCACCATCGAAAATTTAGGAGCACCCACTGACAATTAAGGAGCACCACAATTAAGCAGAAAGGCCTGCAGCATCCTGTGGCCCATTGCATGAAGCTTGCTGAACAAGCTCAGAGTTTCAGAGTAGGTTTAGACTTGACAAACCAAACAAATACAACTTGGTTTAGATCAGGTTCAACGGGCTCACAACACTCTATATAAATATTCTCTGTCAACTCTGTTCTCTGTCAAACTGAGTTTGATCCAGAGTTTGTGATTAACTCTGGAGCGCATTCACCTGAAAATGTGACACATTGAGCAAACAGCCAATTACACGGAATATTGATTCACTTCTTGTGAGAGTCGATGCAATTCACTTCTCTGCTGAAGATTAAAAGTTGTTGTTATTAAAAATATATATATAATGAATTTAAATGCATTTACTAGCCAGGAATAAGCACTGTTGCTGCAGCAAAAATTTGAGAAGGTAGCAGAAAGAAAATATCTGACTATGCAAACGAATCAACTGAATTTAATAACTTATATGGTTTCACAAAGAGCTCAAAAGAAAGCACATAAGTTTAGTAACTTAAGCTCTATATATTAAAACGTATTTATATGTATAAATATTCAATATTATATTCCGATAGTCTTTTTTTATATTCATTTAATTTTTAAAGCAAGAGACATGAAAGAATTAAAATATGAATACATGAGCAAGATGTTTATTTTCTCTATTTACAGGCCAAACTCTCTGTAGCCATTTAAAATTAGAGGCAACCACTGCATTTTAATCACAATCCAAACAAAGACGCTACAGATGAGCAGTTTCTGATTTAAAATGAAACTGTATAGTTTCAAAATCTGAAGCGAAAACGGAATAGTCTGACTTTAGCTTTGTGAAATTATGCTACATAAAACATCTGCATGAAACGACAGCAGGAGGGCTGAATGAGAATACGGATTCACTCTCTGACGGTAGGTGGCGCTTCTGGAACAGCAGCGATATAGCATTTTCTTGCTTACCGCTGTAAACAAAGCAGTGCTGCGCTACTAAACACTCCTTTAATATGCATTATAGAAAAGAAAATACCATATCCATCCTATTTCTAAATTTAAAGATTTTCTTCCAATATTGTGTGCATCATAGTCAGATTCCCCTGCATGCTACAGTATTTTCCCATCTTCGCATTCATCTTCAGCGTCTCTGACTGTTTACAGACTTCATATTATTTCCACACAGATGGCATTTTGGAAAATGATTGTACAGTTTGTACAAATCCGGAACAGAGATTGGACAAAATAAAACAAAAAATGTTTGTAGCCGATTCTGAGTTAGCTCCCTGTCAAGTGACAACCGAGCAGTGAGTCAGTGAAAGAGAGTGATTGATGGCTAATATTAACCAATCTGCATTAAAGTTAAGAATGTAAATATGAAGTTTAGTTGGTTATGTAACTTTGGATAGAACGGTGGACAGGTCTCTACATCAGCTCACAGCAGGCATATACTGTGCAGTAATTAGCAAACAATTTGTATTTGGAGTTGACAAAGAAATAAATGCTATAAGAAAATCACAGATAATTTTGTGAAAGGTAGGATTCAGTTTCTGCACTACGTTTTCATTTTTCAAAATCAGATTTTAAAATAAAAATAATTTAAATCTAAGCTGTGATAAACTTTGATAATGTGGTTTATTTTTGATATTTTTGTTTTGGTAAGAAGTTCTGAATGGCCAGTAACTAAAATTTAGTATTAAAATTGGCTGTTAATTGAAAAAAAGTTAATTTCCCCTGATTATAAAGGAAAAAATGGTTCACTAAAATGACTGCCATTTTTAACTCACTTCTGTGGATCGTATGAGAATTAGAGGTGTGCACAAATTGTTGAATATTTCATCTGTAATTTTTATTTGAAAAATAAAAACACTAATCGAATTTAACTACGTTTTGCTTTGCTGGCCGTAAATGCCGGGAATCCATAATAAATCCTACGCACGCAAACTAAAAGTCCGTTTTAACTAAATGCACTGGGTGGTGCTGGGGAGTACGGAGCCATGACATGTAGGAAAAAATAGTAGGCTAAATCGTGTGCACGAATTACTATTTTGTTCCCTCGATTTGCTAAATCGTGCACACGATTTATAAATCGAGAGAACGAATTAGTAAATTGTGCGCACGATTTAGCAAATCGAGGGAACAAATTAGTAAATCGTGTGCACAATTTATTTATTTTTTTCTTGCATATCATGTGCGGGGCTCCGTAGTGGAGCATGTTAATAAGTTGATTGTATTTGATCACAGAATGAACAGGATCAAAGGGGTGACACTCTAAAACAGTGGTTCTCAAACCTGTCCTGGAGTACCCCCAGCCCTGCACATTTTGTATGTCTCCCTCATCTATCACACCTGATAGACTCAACAAGAACTGAATGAGCCTTGGCGAAGTTTGCCGAGGATTACCGAAGATTCTGATGAGTGAGTTGACGACACTGTGCAAGCCTGAAACGCATACTGGAAATATGCTTAATATGACTGTTATTAATTTACATTTTATTAAAACCTGCAAAAACCTTTCTGTCAAGTGATGTAAAAAAGCTTTACAAAAGTTTGTGCATGCATATTATATTTACAGTTGCTTAAGCGAAATCAAGGAGTTAATAAGACTGGTTTATTCATTCTTTAGACTGTAGACATGTAGAACCTATCTGCGTTTGTGCATCAATTTCTGTAATGTGTGCTGTAGGTGTGAAACTTTTAGGAATCTTATCCAAGTTGTAGGCTAGTCAATATTGGTCAGTCAGTATCTGATATAAAGGACCCGCGGATGAAACTGTGACAACAAACACCATTAACTTAAGTGAATTATATGGTAATAATCAGCAATATGCTTTCACACAAATAACTTAATTTTTTTGAATGTTTCGATATGCGTTGACACAAATAACTTATTTGAATTTTTCATTGATACAACATTGCACTGAGTTGTTATAAAAGAAATGCATAGAGACGTTATTGCTTGATGACGTCAGGAACTGATGAATCGACTTTTTGAGCCGGTTCAATGAGCCGATATGTCCGAAAAGAACCGGTTCGCGGAAATGAATTAGACTTTGCATCACTAAAGTGTAGTCCAATTTGATGACAAAACAACAAGAGCTGGGCAAAGCGTGTAACAGACTTGACCTGTCACATTAGTTTCCCTTTTATATGTAAACCTACTTCCTGACACTAGGGGGAGTGTTGCGCTGATTGCTGTAGTACATCAGCAAGGTAGTGATAGAAGAAGTTAGATTGGTTTGGTGCTACAGCATGGTTGATGTGTCTCCGTGCCGCTCTTAAGAGTCCTGACTGGGAATCTTTGGGATGTTCTGCTCCGTCAATGTAAGGTGTTGTTTTCTCTTTTGTGTTTTCCGTATAGTTTTTTTTGTGTGTGTGTGTGTGTTTATGGACATATGGGCTGATGTCAATTTTGTTTGCTTATTTGTAGAAGGACTCTTTAGTCCTTATAAACAATACCAAGGAGGATTATTCACCAAAAAGGCTATTTAACCTCAGGACATATTACTTCCACTTTCCTTGTGATCTTATGGGTTGATGCACAAGGAGAAATGTATGATTGTGCGCATGACATTCTTGATGGATTATATCAGCCTGAGTCAGTTCACATCACTCCAAGACTTTAATTCACTGGTCTATAGCAGCAAGGACTTCATCATTGCTGACTATCCAGATAAGATATTTCGCAATCATTGCACCTGTGAATGGTGTTTTTGATATGGAATCTTTTCTTCCCATTGGGAAATGCTTAAACTCCAGTTTTTACATGCTTATGGGTGATCTCATCTCCTGTATTGATGATTGAATGTATTCTATATTTTGCTGTTTTCAAATTAAACTTACTTTTGCATCTATTGTTTGCCTTACTGAGTATTTTGACTTGCACAGATCTTCGCTGGTGGTTCCCTCCCTCATATAAATCTTGCGGCAGTTGGTCTGGCTTTAAATACTAGACCAAGTGTTACAAGTGCTGGTGTACCCCTTCATGAAAAGAAAAGAGAACATTCCTTACATACCAGCCTCTCTGAGCTTCCTAAGAAAACTGCAGATTTCCATGGATGAGGAAGCTGGTCCCTCCATGGCTGGTGCCTCCAGAGCTGGTTCCACCACAGCTGGTCCCTCCAGAGCTGGTTCTTTCACGGCTGGTGCCTCCAAAGCTGGTCCTTTCACAGCTGGTCCCTTCGGTGCTGGTCCCTCCAGAACCGGTCCCTCCACAGCTGGTGCCTCTAGAGTGGGTTATTCCATGGCTGGTCCCTCCAGAGCCGGTCCCTTCATGGCTGGTGTCTCCAGAGCCGGTCCCTTCATGGCTGGTGTCTCCAGAGCCGGTCCCTTCATGGCTGGTGTCTCCAGAGCCGGTCCCTTCATGGCTGGTGTCTCCAGAGCCGGTCCCTTCATGGCTGGTGTCTCCAGAGCCGGTCCCTTCATGGCTGGTGTCTCCAGAGCCGGTCCCTTCATGGCTGGTGTCTCCAGAGCCGGTCCCTTCATGGCTGGTGTCTCCAGAGCCGGTCCCTTCATGGCTGGTGTCTCCAGAGCCGGTCCCTTCATGGCTGGTGTCTCCAGAGCCGGTCCCTTCATGGCTGGTGTCTCCAGAGCCGGTCCCTTCATGGCTGGTGTCTCCAGAGCCGGTCCCTTCATGGCTGGTGTCTCCAGAGCCGGTCCCTTCATGGCTGGTGTCTCCAGAGCCGGTCCCTTCATGGCTGGTGTCTCCAGAGCCGGTCCCTTCATGGCTGGTGTCTCCAGAGCCGGTCCCTTCATGGCTGGTGTCTCCAGAGCCGGTCCCTTCATGGCTGGTGTCTCCAGAGCCGGTCCCTTCATGGCTGGTGTCTCCAGAGCCGGTCCCTTCATGGCTGGTGTCTCCAGAGCCGGTCCCTTCATGGCTGGTGTCTCCAGAGCCGGTCCCTTCATGGCTGGTGTCTCCAGAGCCGGTCCCTTCATGGCTGGTGTCTCCAGAGCCGGTCCCTCCACGGCTGGTGCCCTCAAAGCTGGTCCCTCCACAGCTGGTACTTCTAGAGCCAGTTCCTCCATGGCTGGTCCATCCAGAGCCGGTCCCTTCACGCACATCCTCCAGAGTCATACTTTATGCACATCCTCCAGAGTCATACTTTATGCTCCTGAGACATACCTGAAGACATACTTTATGTTCCTGAGTGTTGCACTTAAGCCTTTAGCTGAATTTAATATGGCCTTTCAGGTGGATGTCACGACCTCTTGGGATAATGTCAGAATAATAGATTAATAATCACATACGATAATATGTATTATTTAAGTTATTTTATTGTGGCAACATGTACTGTCTACAGTCAGAGGGAGTATGGATTCACAGGCTTGAAGAGGAGATGTGCTGGCTGATCAGGTGGTTTTTGAGCTACCTCATACAAGCCAGTGCCATCTTGGATGTGCCTCTCAGGGGGGTGAACTATGGAGAGGGACAACAGTTGGACAAAGACAAAGGCATTCATCAGAAATGCAGAGCTCCCTGTTCATTCAAGAAAAACCTTATTTTACCAAGAAATCCCTTTTTTTCAAATCCCAATGTTGACAGTATGCCACAGCTGGTGGATCAGCACCTAGAGACAACCTCTACAGCCCTGATTCTGAATGTCAGTGGAGGCCATGTCAACTAGATGAGCCCCAGAGACAGATCCCCTGCGAAGACCTCGTCACCTCGACGACCATCGGCACAAGACCAAAAGAACCAGACAAGTCCTCTGCACATTCTGACCTGTGTTATAGCCTGGAATTAAACCACGCCATGCTGGTTTTGTCTGGCCAGACTGTTTGACATTGTAAAGCTGCTTTGACACAATCAGTATTGTATAAAGTGCTATACAAATAAAGGTGACTTGACTTGAATTGACAGCTTGTGGCTCCAGAACTGGTCCCTCCATAGCTGGTGCCTCCACGGCTTATCCCTCTATGACCAGTCACTCAAAGAAAAGAAAAAGGCGGCAAAGTGCAAGCATCCAGTATGCAAGAGACACTGAATTACTATATCTGTTGTATGTACTGTACAGCAATGCATAGAATATTTACAGTTTGAATGTATATAGTTACAATTATATTTATTGATGGTTATTTAGATTTTTATTCTTCTTTTTCTTCAGTTTACTGTTTGATAATTGTGTTTTTTCTTATTTTAGTCTAACAGGTGTTCCTGATATTTGAGTAACAAAAAATGCTTCCCATGTGTTCCCTTTCAAACAAAATTGTAATGTTTGATAGTAATCAGAATGCAACATCTGATATTTATCTAACCAAAAATATCTAAACCTTGACAAAAAGTATTCTTTTAGAATGTCTAAATATATATCTAAATGCAAAACCTAATAAAATGAAGAAATTATGGGGGGGAAAATGGGAATCCAAAAGCCTCTAGGCCTATATATTTATATAGGTAGTTATACAGGAGGTTACATGACATTACAAAAGTTTTTATTTTTTAATGCCACCAGATGGCACAATTCTCACTTAAAAAATGGATTGTAAATGACTTTACTCTATTTTAATGTGAAATATTGCATTTATTTAAAAATAATAAAAAAATATGTATATTATTGAACAAAAATGTGTTACATTGATTTTCCTGAAGAAAAAAAAAAGTTACATTTCAAGGCTTCGTGACTTTTGACCGTGAAGGAGTTAAGTGTGACCCCTAAACGAAGAGGGCCAGAGGGTTAAATATATAGTTTTTTTGTTTACACACATTTTCAACTAAAAGAAAACCTTGAGATATAATATAACGTTGTTGAAGACATTCAACATTCATATATAAGGTGTGTATAATGCCTAATCATAAGCTCGTTCAGAAATGGTGACAAAAACTTGATTATTAAAAAAGAATGTCTTTCTACTTAAATGTAATTTAAATAAACTAATATTCAAAGATACATTTTTTTATGAGCCCAAATATTCAAATACAATATTATATGTATTAAAAACAAGTTTAAGTTAATATGTAAGTGACTTTCTATTCAGGCAGATAAACTTGTTAACTTCAAAGTGTTGTGAGAATGTGTGTGTTCAATGCGAATTAATCATTCAGTTAATGAACAGGAATGAAGTCAGGCTGCTCTCCTACAGCTCACACTGAAGAGAGTCATCGAAGAAGCCAGAGCTTTATACTTCACACCCGGCCGTCAGTCAGTCAAAGATAACGCACTAACCAGAACACTTCTCCTTCTTTCCCTCTCTTCACCTCTTTGCTCTCTCTCTTGTTCTCTCTGGCTCTCAGTCTTTTCACATCAGCAACACTTAGCTTCCAGGCCTCGCTAAGGAATGAGACTGCCCGTATATTTTACTGATAATAAATTTATGAACCAAACCTAGGAGGGAGGAGTATTAAACGAGCGAACGAATCGCTGCGGTTCACTTTACCAAGCCGGCATATCCTTTTCATCAACAAAAATAACTCTTCAAAGGCAGTAAAACCATGCTTAGAAAGTAAAGGGCCATTTGAGCAAGTATAGAGAGAATTGTAGAGGTGGGGGTGGGACAGATATGATCCAGAATGAAACACTCCCCCACCCCCCACTCTCATCTAAAAGCTAAACCCAGCCTTTGAAAAACATACAGAGCCTTTAATAATTCAGTCTTTGGAGAGATTGAGTAGCTTCTTTAGCGTAAAAATCTGCAATCTCCTGACATAAGATCAGTCCCCATAGGGGCTTCTTGCTGAGTCTCATGCAGTCTCCTTGAGTTCTCACATCACAACTAAGCACTGCGTTTTGTGACAGAATTCTGCACTTCCAGCATTCCCAAGATTACCTTCCAGATCAATAATTATTGTTATAAACATTGACACATTTCACAAATAGGTGAGTAACAATAAATGCTGTGAAAAAGTTAAATTTGTTAGTAATTATTGAAGTTGACTGCCGACTTAACTGCTGTACCCCACCAATACTAGGCTGTAAATATTTTACAAATTTGCACCCTAAACACATTCATATTTTATCAGGTTTTTCAAGCAGTTTATTCTCAAAGCAAAGTGTTGGACTGCATAATTATTTCAGTTTAACATGTTTTTTTACCTATTACTTACATAAATACAAGAATTTGAGTTATTGCTCCTCAGAGGGCTAATTTGAGCTAAGGCATGCATTAATTAATATAACCTAGATGGAAAAAGGATATCCCTAAATAAGCTCTTGGTGAACATCCAGGATGATTGTCTTCTTCAAAGGAAATTGAGACAATTATTGCACAGAAAGGTGGTTCATATTTTATGCTCTCAGAATCGCACCCGTCAAATTGGCAGGTAGCCTGCCTTTACACAAATCTCAGGAGAACATGTTTCACATCTATCAGTAACCACAAATAATTACATTTCATGGGCGAAGAAGGTCAGAAAACACATGCAAAACACAGAGGGCCATGTTAAATCAGATATAAATTCAAGGACACAGGACAAACAACCCATGTGTTGTTGAAAAAAGTCAAACATACTGAAACGAATATATTTGCAAATGAGATATATCATGAAATCGTAAATACTAAAATCCAAATATTCAACCTGTTCTTGTTTATCATTACATATTTCAGTACATATTACATATTGCAATGCCAACTGCCAGTGGAGGGTTTTTCTGCCAGACCTTGTTTTCTCTTTCTTTCTATAACAAATGCATTGTGTGCTCATGCTAACCCAATCCATCACTCCTATTCCGGCCATGAAAAAAGCACTTTCTTGGGGTGTGTTTTTTATTTTTGCCAGCACTGCTGTTCCTACAGCACTCGAGAGACCACACTGATGGACACTCTGGTCAACGTAGGCAAGGTGCTGAGGGATGGAGGAACACACTACCTACGTGTGTCTCCTCCAAACCCCCACACCAACACTCCCTACCCCAGCCCACATCTATCTCTGTAGACCACTTCCACATCCCTTGTGTCTCAGTGGACTGACTCATCCTTATGATAACCTGTGCACTATTAAATCCCCCAATGGGCCACAAGTCTGTCAGCATGCTAGTGTGACAAACAAGAGGAATGCTTTCAAAAGAACAGAGGCGTTGAGGTGTTCATGAGTGGAAAAAAAAATCTAACCTACCAGAATTTACAATGACAGCTCAGAATACAAAGAGGGGGCAATTACGTAAGACTGTCCATGATTAACAAAATAAAATACATTCAAATAAATAAATAAATCTAGTTCACATGTGCAAGTTAATTATTGTAATAAAAAAAAAAAACACCAGGGTTTTTCTTATTTTTTTTAATTCTGCATTTAGACAACATGACTTTGATTTGTAAACAATGAATCAGTTGTTAAATTATTCTTAAATATTTCTAATAAATAATAATAAAAGACTAATTTTAATTTTATTAATTAATAATGTTTTATTTTCCAGATGAATGAGATTTTTCTTTTATTATCATATCAGTCACCCTGACATTTTTACCAAGTAAAATACTTCATTACTTGTTAGAAAAAGTGCATTAAAGTCACTGTATTTTTAAATAAAGATGAAAAAAAGGTGCCATGTCAATTATTGACCACTGGGAATATAACTATAGATAAAGTGGAGGTATGGTCATAAGAAATTTGTGAGTCTAAAACTATACGTTTAAAGCAAGTCTACAATTACTTCACATTTAAGCGGGAACACTATCCCACTGGCACTGCATTAACAGGAGATGTCATTTAGACATTTTAAAGCTTTCTTTTGTGCGAGCTTTCAGTAATCTGGGGACATGTGTGACTATGTATTTGCACCAATTATGCTCTATTAAATCTATTCAAATTAGAGCCTGTTCCAGGTTCCCCCGACAAAGTGAAATTTGATTTCTAAAACGTTCTCTCGTCTTTGCTGCACAAAGAAGCCGTCGGGGATTGAGGGAGCGATCGCTGGAGAGGGAAGTGGGCTGGAAGGCAAATCTAGGTGATGTGTATGTTCTTAGAGTGCCCCTGGGTCTATCTTGGGTAGGCAGGATCTGACAAAAAGATCTGTAAGGAGGAAAAAAATCCTCCACTCTGCTCAAGCATGGGAAATTAAGCCCAGATAAAGATTCTTACTTAAAACACA